GAAGAACAAGTGTTCAAGCTGATATTAGGTCATTCATTTATGAAAAAGCAATTGTCATGAGGATATCACCACATCAGTACACATTCAGTTTACTTCTCCAAACATTTATAACAAATAGCAAGACGATCAAAGTGCGATATTCCTAACGACGACATTAAGACACTGAAAATGTTGAGTTATGTAAAAGAGGTTACATCATGTTTAGTAAAATGCTCTGTTACACATTTTGTGATATTGGTAATCAACAGATTAAATATCAGAAGTCTCTATTAATTACTAGTTTGATTATCCAGAAGACCTAATTTTCCACTATTCTAGATAAACAAAGACTTATACTAAATTAACACGTGCAAGAGGTGCACTTTTTCAATTGATTACCTACTAAAGAGCAGCAAAGGGTCAAGTGTGCAAGATGGAAGGGAAAAGATAATGTCAACAGTATAATCCACCAACCAAATAGCACTCAAGTACATAAGAGCTTGATGCACAGAGAAAAAAAGAAAATCCATTTTGGCAATGGCAACATTGCTCATTTGAATGACAATGAACTTAGTTTTTCTTACTTGGGTTTTGTGGGTGTTCACTAGTGAGGGAGCTGCCGCCACCATGGAGCTACTCCTGGGTCTGGGCAGGAGAGGAATATCTGGCTCTGGAGGTTTTTCTGGCTTCTCTTCCAACATATGTCGCAGCCTTTGTAGATAGTACATCAGAGACCACTGAGTGCCTTCCTCAGACCAATGGGGCTGAAGTAGGCAGCGCAGAACAGCAACATCAAAGTAGGTGGCATAGCGGGACCTTTGGCATGGAGGTATCACGAGAGAGGCCCTGTCCCCCATGACAGAAAGAAAATAATTATACAGGCAGTCAAGCACTCTGAGGGCAGCACAGCATGGCTTATAGCTCTACCTTTCTTATTTGTTTATTCATTTACTCGTTTCTCATGTGGTTTACTCTAATATCCTTCTAACTGGTCTCTCATTCCACTTTCACTAAACATCTCCTGGAAGTAGAAATATTGAGAGAGTTTTGAAGGGTGGATAGAAATTGACCAGGCAAAGTTGAGGTTTGGGCAGGAGGGAGGATTGGCATTTCTGTCAGAGGGAACAACGCCTACCAAGGTATGACTTTCAAAAATATGGGTTTGAAGGGGAGACCCTAAGTAATTGGTGAGTAATTTGGGTGATGAACAATGATGGGAGTGAGAGCTATAGAAATAGATGACGTTCAGATTTCAGTGCTTCCTTTATGCTAAGATTGGGTTTGACTTTTACCCTCATAGAAATAGGAATGATATTTGTGTTGCTCACTTCATTGAGCTATTTTAATTTCAATTGTGAAAATATGTAAAATAACTAAGGAAGGTACAAAATGCTAAGAAACAAACTTTCATATCAGGAAAATAAAGGAATTTTGAAAATTCTAAAGTTACATACGCTTGTAAGAAAGCATCTCAAAAACTTGAGATTTTTAAAAAATCTCAAGTTCCTGGAATTCTATTATTCAATTTAAACACATAATATATTAATTACCTAGTGTTCAATTTAATTCTAGTACAAAGTAGTTTTAAGAACTTACTCAGATTAATACATCATCCTAGGTATCTTAGGTGCAACAAATTGAATGTTTACGGCCTACAAAATCCATATGTTGGAATTCATAATCCCTGGTATTAGGAATGTGGGGCCTTTGGGAGATAATTCGGTCATGAGGGTAGCGTCCTCAAGAATGAGATTAATGCTCTTATGAATAAAGGACTCCAGAAAGATTTCTGCCCTTTTTTCACTAAGTGTACATACAACAAAAAGATAGCTATCTGCAACCCAGAAGAGGGCTCTCACCAGAACCTGGCTGCACTAGCACCGTAATCTTAGTCTTTCAGCCTTCAGAACCATGAGACATACATTTCTGTTATTTAGAAGCCACGCAGGCAATGGTACTTTGTTATGGCATCCAAAACTGACTAAGACATTCGCAGACTTAAAGGCAAGTTTAACATCCTCACCTTGAAGAACATATGGTCTAGGGAGAAAGACAGACAATAAATGACAAAATACAGACTTAGAACTTCTGGGATCCAAGATGGTATCTTAAATCTAAACTTAACTCCCAAGCACAATTTCCTTCTGATTTAGGTGATGCAAAAGAGAGATGTTTGTACCCTACCATAAACTAGCAAATGGTGCTACCCACACACGAAGTGCTCTCAAAAAATGCAGCCATGGAGAGTGAGCAGAGATTTTCCTAAACACTTCTCAGGCCCATATTTTTTGAATTAAAAGTCCGTGGCTCACTAGTGGTTCAAGAAAATAATTCCATAGGACACAGCTACTATTTAACCCATTAAGTAGAATAAAAACTATGGAGTAAGGACTTGGATGTTTGGTGAAACTTTGTCTCACTTTATGTTTGTTATGAGCCTTAGTAAAATACATTCTGACTGTGGATTTCAGTAAAAAGTTCAAAAATTCAAAGCCCTGCAAATTGTTTTTACAGCTTTTCTATTTCCCTATCGAAGCACATACCATACTTTGTTATTTTGTCTCTCGCTCTTTTTTTTTTTTTTTTTTTTTGAGACAGAGTCTTGCTCTGTCACCCAGCCTGGGTGTACTGGTGTGATCTCGGTTCACTGCAACCTCTGCCCCTGGGTTCAAGCAATTCTCCTGCCTCAGCCTCCCAAGTAACTGGGATTACAGGTGACTGCCACTACACTCGGCTAATTTTTGTATTTTTAGTAGAAATCGGGTTTCACTGTGTTAGTCAGGCTGGTCTTGAACTCCTGACATCAGGTGATCTCCCCAACTCCATCTCCCAAAGTGCTGGGTTTACAGGCATGAGTCACCACACACAGTCTATTTTTCCTTTTGTTAACAGCATTGTCTGATGGTTTGAGGGGCAATTGCTTGTGTACACAATGGTTTCGAATTTCAATGCTATTTTATAGTCTAATATTCTTGAATATTTTGACAAGTAGGAAATTAATTATAAACTGAACTTCCGAAGTTCAAACACAATGTGAGTTGACAATTATATGAAAAGAAGCCCTCTACAATCCCTAAATTCCCATATACAGTATGCCAGATTTTATGACACCTAGGATACTCACCCTTTGGACATAAATTTCATGACAACTTTCAATCCATCATGAAGTCTCATAGGCTATCCTTCCAACCACTTCTCATCAGTTCCACAGACACCACTCTAGTCCCAGCCACTAACATCTCTCATCAGGCTTATTGCAATTACTTCCTGCCAATCTTATAGTTTTACCTCTTATTCCTCCACTCCCTAGCTCAAACCCTTCGAATAAAATGCAAACTCCCTCACAGTAGGAACCAGGCCTGAATAGCCTGGTTGGGTTTATCACTCCAATCTCATTCTCTATTATGCTTGCCCTGGTGTGCCAGTTATTGATTTATAGCCTCTCAGCCCCAAATACATCTTTTGGTAAAAAACCCTGTTTTAATATTTCCTTAAACTGTCCAGCATGCCACTTATTTACTCCTGAGACCCAGTTTGAAGGGGACTAAAAACCTTGATTTTAATTTCCACCCATTTCCTAAAAGGCTTTCACCAATCTTCCCTTCCCCCACCCATCCCATTTCTCCTTAAAGATGCATGACCCAAATTATCCTCTCAGCCAATTATTTATACCTCAGATGATAGGATTTCTTTCCCCACCCCTCCCCACCATGCTGTACTCTTGGATTTATAAACAAAAGACAAAGTATAGGGTTGTCGTGCTGCCAGCTGGGTAATTTTAGGTCTTCAAGGCTTTGTGACAATCATTTGATTTATTATAAGAGCCTATGAAACCGTTGTTTTCTTGACTAGGCTGCTGTGGTCAAGACAGTTAATACTAGTTCAACCAAATATTTCCTCCCCATTGGAATAGCTGGTAGTTATTCTTCACCTGTTACTCTCTGCCCCACTGTAAAGTCCCCAAATATTTCTATTTAGTAAATTAGATTAGGGAGTTCAATAAATTACTTCAAATTCCTACAGCAATGCTCCATATGAGATGACCATAAACCACCTTCATGGGAATCCTTCCTTCCAAGGATAGGAAGGAGGGAGGTTGTTAAAAAGCCAGGCACTGAGTCTTGCCCCAGACTTCCTAAACCAGAATTTCAGAGGATGTGGTCCAGGAATATTTATTTTAAACAACATTCTCAGGTACTCCTTGAAAATTTTTTAAAATATATAAATTGCTTTATTGAATATCAATAAACTGCACACATAACTATACAAAATGCTTCCTTCATGCAAAATGTTTGAAATATAAGTATCAATGTACCTTGAAAAATGTAAACATCTTCCTCCCAGGCTACTTGTTGGACTCCCAGAATAGTTCTGGGAGATACATCCGGCAAACCAGAGCACCTCACTTGGGCCACCATTATTCACAGTTCCTTTTGAGACATTGTTAAATTGCCTGGGAACAGGTGTCAACCACACCAAACAGGAGGCTGAAATAGCTGCCCAGGCTCGGGGCATCTCAGGCTCTAGGCACATCCTGGTGTTGGTCATCTCCCTCGAAGGTGTGGCTGAAACTGGGGGTCGATTATTGCATCACACCTCATGGAGGGTGGCCTGAGGGTTCCTGGGCGGGAAGGAGGGGGTCCCCTGACTGGGGTAGGAACTTCCCACTCAGTCTGTCAGCTCTTGTCCTGTAGCTCAAAGCAGCTGTATCCAAACAGCTCTGAATACAAACACACGCAGAAAGGCCAGCTCAAGAATGCCTCCAAGCTGGCGCTGCCAGCTGCCCTCCAGCCAGTCATCCACAGATATGGCCATGGGAAGGCCTCTTTCAGAGTCCACTGAGGGATCCAGGCAGAGGGAACAGAATCAGAAAAGGGTTTCCATCCAAGTCACGTGGGGCCGATGCAGCCAGAAGTGGGAATTATGTAGCAGTGAGAAGGACGTGGGATCCTTCCTTCTGGAGCTTGGGGAGGCTGTTGGTTGGGGGCGGGGGGCGCTCAGATATGGAGAGGAAGAGGGAGCCTCTAGGGTCGGCGGGGGCCCCCTGAGCAGCTCGACTCTTGGTGCTTGTGGAGCAAGGCCATTCGGGAGAAGGTTTGAGTGCACGCCTGGCACTGGTACTTCTTGACCTCCAAGTGGGTCTGGAGGTGGGCCCGCAGGTTGGAGCGGTCGGTGAAGGCGCGGCTGCAGTGGGGACAGGAGAAGGGCTTCTCACCGGTGTGGGTCCGGACATGGCACTGCAGCAACCAGGGTCTGGAAAAGGTCTTCCCGCAAATTTCACAGACAAAGGGTAGCGTGTGGGTTCGGATGTGCGTCTTGAGGGCACTCAGGCTGAGGCATTCCTTATTGCAGTATCTGCAGTTGAAGGCTTTTCGAAACTGGGAATCCCTGGTCTCAGAGAGCTGGGCCAGCCGCTTGGGCACTTGGCCCAAGCCTGGCAAGGCGGCATCGGCCTCGGCCTCCAAGGAAGAGGCTGAAGTAGAGAAGAAAGACAAAGGAGCCTGTGAGAGTGGGCTGCGGGGCTGGGAGCCTTTCCCGCTGTCCTCATCCGACAGCGAGGTCAGCTCTGCTGCCTTGCCACTCTCCTGGGAGAGTCCAAACTGGAGGGAGGCCCGGGCAATTGGCTGGGCGTGGAGCTCCAGGAAAGCGTCCCAGATGAGCGTTGGCAGCGAGGCGGTGGGATTGAGGATCTCCGGACGTGGGATGGTGGCTGCCAGCAAGTGGGCCTGCTCGTAGGCTTGCTGGAAGGTAAACTCTAGATGAGAGTCCTGGAGCTTGCTGTAGTTTGGCTTCCGATCGGGGTCAAAGGGCCTCCTGACAAGGAAAGACCGCGGCATGGTGGCCGAGGTGCCGGGGTCACCCAGTCGAGCAAAAGTAGTGCAGGAGATTCACTCTCGCTAGGCCGGAGCGGCGGAGCAATGAGTGCAGCCACCCTACCAACTCGCTTAAGTACTACAGGGGCGAGCAGGGTGGGGCCTTTCCGGTCACGCCTCTTTATCACCTTCGCGCCAATCTGAGGCGCGCCACCGCTGCAGGGCACGAAGTGGGTGGGGCCTGGCTGGGCTTGCTCCAGACCCTGGGCCCTCCTTGAATAATCTTTTTTTTTTTTTCTCTTTTTGAGATGAAGTTTCACTCTTTCTCTCAGGCTTGAGTAAAGAGGCATCATCTCGGCTCATGACAACCTCCGCTTCCGGATTCAAGTGATTCTCCCGCCTCAGCCTTCCAAGTAAGTGGGATTACAGGTGCCCGCCACCATGCCTGGCTAATTTTTGAATTTTTAGTAGAGACGGGGTTTCGGCCATGTTGGCTAGGCTGGTCTCCAACTCCTGACCTCAGGTGACCCACCTCCCAAAGTGCTAGGATTACGGGCATCAGCCACCACGTCCGGCCTTGAATAACCTTAATAATCCTATTTGAAAGTGCTGTAACTGAGAAAATATGTTGACAGTGTTGTTCCTTAGGGCAACAGATGACTAAATTGGTATTAATGTACCTCTCTTTAAGGTGTTATTCAATCACTAGTTTATTTGACTTAATGTGTGAGCTGTACTGCACTGAATATTCAATAAAAAGTACGGTCAGTAAATACTTTTTATTTCATTTAAGACAGCATTATCAGGTATGCTCAACATGTCACTATCCAATGAAAGTCATTGTAATTAACCAGCAGACTAACATGCAAGAAATAAATTGACATAACTGGATAAAAATGATATGAGGAAAGCTTCTTAGATCATGTGATAGAAAAATTCTTTCCAACTCTAATATCTTCTGAATCTAAAAGTTATTTCCTAGAAAAAAATTAAAAATGAAAATGTTATAAAAGGATATGAATACAATTTCTTTCTAAATATGTAAAAATAATGGCAAAAGCATATATATATAAAGTTAATAATGTTTACAGCTATTTGATGGTTCATGGATGATTTTTACTTATTTAAAAAATATTTTATATATTTAATTTTTTTCTGTAATTGGCTCTATAGAATATTAGACACATAGAACAAACAACATATTATGACAGAAAAGCATTTCAAAATTGGCAAGAATTTCTTTAGTCTATTTTCCAAGCAACTATGGCTTTGGAAAACCAAGTTATTAATTAGGGTTGGGACCTGATAGCAGAAGATATTGAAGGCAGATAAGCACTCTGGAAATAACAGAGAATCTATGGAAACAGAGAACTGCAGAAATCAATCTTGACTCTATGCAGTATTTAATGAAGCATAAATTAACTCTCTCCATATAGTAATTAAAGATGAAATCTAACATTTATTTAAAAACTAGCTACCTGTTTACTTATTGCAGAGTGCAGAGAAGACTGATGTGCAGTTCAGTCAAGGTGAGAGCAAAAGAGATAATGAATTATATTTGATAAAAGCAGACAGCTTTTGTTATTAGGATATTTGCATTGCTTTGTTATTAAAGTTATCTTCTTTTCTGATTAATTTGTGAACTCATCCAATAAAGACACGTTAACATTTGTATTTTCTGAAAGCTCTACTTTGTGCATCATTTCCATGGCAACCAACCACTGCAGCTGGGCAGAGAGAAAACCTAACTCATTTTTCGAAAGTGCCACTGATTCATATCTAATTAGCATATGTGTCTATATGTTGCTGTGGGTGACTACGCCTATATATGTGTCAGAGTATGCATCATATATATATAGTGCTTGAGTATAGACATATCAGAGAAAAAAATGTCCATTCACAAATAGGAATCTTAAACATTATAACTGGCTTTGTTTTTACAGGCAAATCAGAATGGAACCACTAACACTTGATTTTGTCAGAAAAAGAGACATCATTTACTGTCTATATGTCTATATTTGTAAATTTCTATGCTTACTATGGATGAGAAAAATTATGTAAGAAATATACGATAATGAATATTTTATGACCTGATCTTGGTTTTCACGATATTTTAAAAAGTAAGGCAGAAGCATAGTATTTGAAGTAAAAGATTACTTACTCTTACTTGAAATTAAGTTAAACTTTTGAAATTTGTATGAAACAGTTGAGGAGGAATGCTCGATAACTGATGTGAAAAATATGTAAAGAAATAGCCATAATAATTTTAATATATTAAATGACGGTGACATTATCATCATTATTATTTCCGGCCTCCAACATAGCCCCCAATGATCCCTCCCTCCTGATATTCACAGTCTAGTGTGGTCCCCTCCGCCACTGCACTAAAGTTAGTTGGTGTGATACATAGAGTATAGCAGAATTGGTGGTAGGCCACTTCGAAGATTAGGTTATAAAAGATTAGGTCACAGAAGATTAGGCTTTAAAAGATTAGGTCATAGAAGATTAGGTTTTAAAAAGATTAGGTTATAAAGGCATCCATTTTGGATGCTTCCTTTCTTTCTTGAATAATTTGTTTTGGGGAAACCAGTTTCTATATTATGAGCAGCCCTATGGAGAGACACAGATAGTGAGGAATTTTGTCCTCTGACCAAGGGCCATCTGAGTGAGCTTGAAAGCAACGCCTCCAAACCAGTCAAGCTTTCAGAAACCTACAGCCCTAGCCAACAGCTTGAGAGACCCTGCACCACAATCACTCAGCTAAGCTGTTTCAGCATTCATAATCCTCAGAAACTATGCAAAAAAAAAAATGCCCTTTGTTTTAAACTGCTAGGATTCAGGATAATTTGTTATATAGAAATTGACAACTAATACAGATTTTGGAACCAAGATAAAACCCTAAATTTTGAAAATGATTTTGGAATCAGGTAGTAGGTAAAAGACTTTGAGGTGTGTGTGTGTGTGTGTGTGTGTGTGTGTGTGTATTTTAAGGCATAAATTGGTCGGGCACTGTGGCTCACTCCTGTAATCCCTGCACTTTGGGAGGCTGAGGAGGGCAGATCATGAGCTCTAGAGATGGAGACCATCCTGGCCAACATGGTGAAACCTTGTCTCTACTAAAAATACAAAAATTAGCTGGGCATGGTGGCACGTGCCTGTTATCCCAGCTACTCAGGAGGCTGAGGCAGAATTGCCTGAAGCCAGGAGGCGGAGGTTGCGGTGAGCCAAGATCATGCCACTGCACTCCAGCCTGGGTGACAGAGCAAGACTCCATCTCAAAAAAAAAAAAAAAAAGCATAAATTACCTTACATAGAGTGTGAGTAAAACTCTTGAACATTGAGAAGGCTGCTGGTGAGGGCTTAACAAGAAGTAAGGGGTGTACTATTGGAAACTGGAGAAGGAGAATCCTTGATGTGTAGTAACAGAAAGTTGGTTAGGAATGATGTGGAAGTTAAAAAAACAAGTGCCTAACAAACTGGGTGATCTAACAAAGGAGACTTCCAAATAAAGTGTTCTAATTTCTTCTTGCTGCTTATAATAAGTTGAGGGAGAAAAGATATGAACTAAAGGAGGAACTGTTAAAGACTAATGAACTGAACCTTGATTTTGAAAAATCTCAGCTTCTTCAGATGGCAAATAATGCTAAAATTAAGAAATGGCTTCCAATAAAGCTTCAGAAATAAAGAACTTTGAAAAAATATGGTCTAGAGATGAAGCCAAGTGTGGGAGTTGTACAGTCATTTGTTAAGACTTCAGAATGATTTCTGGCCTTACCTAAGAATATCATTCCATTAGATGAAAGCCCCTTTAAATTAGACTTCAAGAGTATGATTCAAATCCAAACATTTATAACATATATATATATAACTTCTAAGAAACTTAAGGGCACTTAAGTTTCTTAGAGGTTCAACATAAGCACAAAATGGAAATGAGATTATCTCAAAGAGATTTCTGGATGTGGATTTTTTCCATTCTAGTGGACTCTAAAAAGATTCACAGTAAACCCACAAAGTTTTAAAAATAACTATAACAGCAAAAACACTTCCAGAGACAGTTCATAATGGAACCATTAACACGTGATTTTGTCAGAGAAAAGAAACATCATTTACTGTCTATATGTCTATATTTGTGAATTTCTGTGCTTACTATGGATAAGAAAAATTATGTAAGAAATATGCACTAATGAATATTTAATGGCCTCAGAATTTTACACTATTAAAGACTGTTAATGTTTTGTGTTATGTTTTGGGAGCCTAATAGCCCCAAAACTTTACTGGCAGGCAGCAAACTGAGGAAACTATTCAGCTATAAACACATGCTATCTTTTTTGAAAAGGGAAAGCTGATTTAGAGGATAGAATTAATAGCTTAGAGGGTGGAGTCAAAAGCCATGGGCAAGAATATCACTGAGTTCTAATCAAGGACCTTCCAACATTTTTCCATCTTAACTTCAAAATTCCCTCTCATTTTATCTACTTGAATAGACATGTCCAGAGCAGATACCCTATGCCTATTTTACTATTATACATATTTTACCATTGTATGTTGGGGTGATTGGTGCAGATAACCATATCTCTTTAGTCCAAAGGTATTTTAAATCACTTTGGTAACATCTCATAGGTAACAGATTAGTAGGAAATAATGATTAGTGTAGAAATACTAGTTTGGAAGCAGTTGCAAAAATCCAAGTAAGGGCTGGGTATTAAAGTTGTTAGTACATCAGCTAGGTGATAGGAGATTGGATTGGTTATCCTCACAGAGTTCCTTCCATATTACTTTAAAATTTTTTAACTTTCAATTTGTTGTTTTAAATTGATGCATAATATTATATATTTATGAAGTACAATGTGGTGTTTTAATATATGGTTATATTGTGGCATGATTAACTCTAAGTAACAGATTCATCATCATCTCACATATTTTTGTGGTAAAAATAGTTAAAACCTGCTCTTTTAGTAATTTTGAAATATACAATGCTTTACTGTTCATTATAGTCACCATTCTGTACACTAGCTCACTGAAGGTCCTTTCTCCCATCTAACTGAAATGTTGTACCCTTTGATCAACATCTCCCTTTCCCTATCCATCCCCCTCTCTCAGTTTCTGATAACTATCATTCTACTTCTATAAGTTCAACTTTTTAAGGTTCCATGTATATTATTTAATTTTAAATACTTATCACCATTGACCTGGGACAGTGAATCAGTGGATAAATACAAATAATTCTGTTTAAACAACCAAAGTTGCTATCAAACTTTCATAGTCTCTACCAGCAGATCAAAATTTCACAGTCCCTACCAGCATATTATTCAACTAAGGCCACTTGTTTTTAATGTCCAAAAACCCCTTCTACACTCTCTCATGGAAGCCTGTCTTTCCCTCCTAAACTCCATCTCTCTCTCTATTCCCTTCCACTCAGTGTGGAAGCTGCTTTCCTCTCCTGGATTCCATCTTTATGGATTCTCTCACTCAGTGTGAGAGTTAGCTGTTTCTTTCTCTCTCCTCTTGTTTCTCTCTCTCTTTAAATAAATCACTTTCTACAAACAAAAAAATTAAGTCCAAAGAAAGACACAAAGACACATGCATTATTTACATATTATATTTTTAAAGCACAAGATATAATATTTGGCTTAAATATTGTATTAATATGACTCTGTTCTTTCAACAATTCTAAGAAATCTTTCAAAAACTGTGCATGCATGTAGCCTGATTCTAGTGCCAGTTGGAGGTAGACAATTTAAAAAATATCAAACAAAGAGTTAAGTCAGATACCTAAAGGAAATATCTGTGAATCCTTTTTTGTTTTTTTTTTGATAAAGGACTGGTATCCAGAATATACACAACATTCTTAAAATTTAATAATAAGACAACCTAGTTAAAAAGTGGACAAAATGTTTGAACAAACATTTCATCAAAGAAGATATTCACATAGCTGATAATCACATGAAAATATA